GTTCATCTCCTTCATCTTTCTAAATATCATCATCTCCACCAAGACGTTTCACCTCCAGACAAAGTGTCCCTCTGCTCTCAGGGATTACATATTACAGCTGAAATTACACAGTCAGTCCTGCAATCATTCCATTTCTGTGTCATCTAGAATGTAAACAACTTAAAGGCAAAGGCCTTCCTGGTTTATTTGTATGGCAGAGTCTGTAAAATAGAAGACATGTCAAGAAAAGTAGGGAAGGAGCCGAGCTGGTACAGAGGATATCTGAAGAGCCGGCATTGCAGCCACTAACATTTTCTTATCTATGTTTAACTAAGCTAGAAAAAAAATGCTGGCTATTAAAGGGCTTTTGCTTTGCAATTAACTATTAAACTGATTGTGTTTAAGTATAGCAACTAGGAAACCAAAATCAGGATTTCAGCCAGCAAAATGTGGAGAAGTATACATTTTGGATGCCTACAAGGTTGTAGATAGCCTCGAAGAATTCCTGAGAAGCAGAAAAGCTACAAGGTTGGTTTTGTTGCAATTTCCCCTCAGAGAACAAGTCCAGGTTCTTGGGGGACACATGCTTAAAATGCAGCCTGCAGGGCTAAAGCCTGAAGGAGTGGATGAAACTCCCCAGGTTGGGGACTGGATCTCAAGAGGCAAGGTGCGTTTCTTTTCCAATGAACACAGGATGCTACAGGGATTTCTCAGGAAACACATCCTCAGTATTCAACAGTGTTTACAATGATGGCACAGAGCTAGCAGAGATAACGGGCAGCTCGATTCCACTAAATGGAATTGTTCTCTGCTCCAGCATCTTACATGTGCCACAACAGTGTTGAGTGGGGTCTGGATGATTTCTTGCAAAGAGGGCTGTCACATGTACTGGGGGATGTTATCAGCATCCTGATCTCTACCCACTAGAAACTAGTAGCAAGGATGAGGGTCAACTCTCTGTTCCACCAATCCCAGTGTAATCTTTAACCAGTGCCTCTGTCCTGGCAAGAATGAAGATAATCTAAAGAGATATGTGTGTCCCTCCCTTTGGCTATCAGATGATTGAAATAATGGACCTTGAAAACTCAAATTTCAACCAGATCACATGCTAAGAGAAGGAAAAGGCTGGATCCCAAGTGCCAGACAGAGGGAGAGTCTGTCTCTCAGAAAGAGACATCTCTGTACATATGTGTATGTTTGTGCATGTGCATACACCGTGGGGGTGTCACTGCCTTCCATCTCGATTTCTCATTGGTCTGGAGCTTGCCAACTAGGTGAGGCTTGGCTGGACAGCAAACCCCAGGGATTCACCAGTCTCTGCCTCCCTAGCACTGGGATTACAAATACATGTTACCATACCAGGCTTCTTGGGAATCAAGACAAGTCCAAAGCACTTTACCAACTGAGTCATCTCCCCAGCTCCTGCCTGAAAGAGATTTCACACAGTTCTGACAACTTGTCAGCCACCTTGCAGGAGAGGTTGGAGCCAAGACAGTAATGATGGGCAAGATCACACTTTGACCAGGACTGCCTAGCTACATATAGCTGTTGCACTCTATTTAAACCTAAACCTTGGGGCTGGAGAGATACTAGCTGTTCTTGCAGAAGAACTGGGTTCGAATCCCATCACCTACATGGTGGCTAACAACCACCTGTATCCTCTAGTTCCAGGGGATCTGATGCCCTCTTCTGTCCTACACAGGCATTTCATGACACGAGTGCACATACATACATGCAATACATGCATACGCATAAAATAAAATAAAATAAAATAAAATAAAATAAAAT